CAGAGGGCAATGGGCAGTCTCACAGAACCTGTGTGCCAAGGCCCAGCTACCCTCTTTTGTGCCTATTCTGTGCTTGGCCTGATGCTGGGGACTGGAGTTGGAGCAGTGACTAAGCAATAGCTCCCATCCTCCAGAAGCCCAGGGTCCAGTGGTAGGTGAGCAGCACCAGGTGGGAAGGGCAGTGCACAGAGAGGAGAGAGAAGGCTGGGGCTTCCACAGGAGATAGCCTGAGTGCAGAGGGTCTAAGCCTCCAGAGCCCCATCCCAACAGCACGTGATTCACTTGACTGATGGACGACCCTTCCTCCACCAGCAGGGTTTCCTGGAGTGCCTCTCATGGTGTGGTTGTCTCAGCACCTGTGAAGGCAGACATAGGAGAGATGAACCTCTCCTATGGAGATGTTTCCAAGACCTTCCAGGACACTAGCTCCTCAGGCCCTCATTCTAGACAGGGAGCTGGGAGACCTAGCCTGACATGAAGCTCTGGTCAGAAGTTCTGAGCCACATCTGGGACAAAACTTGAAGGAAGCATCAGCAAAGGGAGGGCAGGTAGAATTTTCCTCCACCTGGAGATCCAGAGAGTATGATAGTGTCTCCCCTAGGAGTTTGAAGGTCAGGCATATAATTTGACTTTGAATAACCCACAGACACCTGATGCCCATGCCTCCTCTTCTCTGAAGCCTCCACCCCTTCTTCGGCATTGTTTTTGCCTAGGAGCAGGGGAGGGTCCCATGCCAGGGCCAATCTGCCAGGATCCCAGCAACTCCCCAGTGACAAGCAGCCCCACACAGGACAAGCGCACAGAGCCAGCCTGATGTGGCCCTTCCCTTCGTTAAGCCCCGAAGCACAGACAAGAGGAAAGACTCCAGAGGGCCGGAGAAGAGGCTTTCCAGCTATTGACTATACCTGGCAAGAAAGGGCCTTTATCTACAGTCCAGGGGACCGAAACGTGGCTCCAGCAGCTTCCAAGGGCAGTGATGGGCTCTAACAGAGCCTGGATCATTTATCTGGATGAGCAGAGAGGGAGGCCCCAGTTTCCTGGGTGGGACATGAGAAACGTATGACATGAAAGAAAACCAGCTCCTCCTACCAGAAGATCCTGTGAGGCTCGGAGGAAGAAATCACAGAATTAGCACAAGTATGACCCATCCGGGCTCCCTGAGAAATAAGTGTTGAGCCAACCCACACAAAATCAACCACAAGGAAATGAGGTTGATGACAGATCCTAGGTTTCTCATAAAGAGGAAACTAAGGGACTTCCCTGGAGTTCAGCTCTCCTTTCATGTCATTCTGGAGCTAGAACTGGAAATGCCAGGCACTCTCATGTCAGGGATTCCATCTCCTGGGGCCGGGAGCCTTGCCCTCTGCAGTCAGGCTAAAGGCATCCTGTAAGAGCCAAATTAGCCACACGTCTCAGGCAAGGTCCCTATGGCATTTCTCAACTACCCCACCTAAGGCCACACCTGAATGGAGAGCCAGGCAGTAGGGCTCCCCTACCTAACACTCTTTCAGCTCCATCCACACGGGGAGCCACAGGGACCATGTAGACTGGTCTTTTAACTGAGGCAGTCCTGGTCTCAGGCACCCTCAAAATGCAGTGGACTCCAGAACTGCCTAAGGAAGTAAAGAAGTGGGCAGTGATTTCTCCCAAATCTGAGCCCCAGATGCCAACTTATCCCCCACCCTCTGCCCTATTAATGCAGGACATTTCTAGGTTCCTGATCAGTGGTAATTGTTATTTTTATATCTTGTTTGTATACCCCATCCTATTTTCTGTAGCCAAGCCTAAACATTGACTGAGATACAAGTTAACTACTAGAGTGAAGTGAGTTTTAGGAGACAGACCTGAAGCACTAACAGCTTCAGGTTTACCCATCTGTAAGGAAGAAAAGCACAAAGAATGAGACAGAACCTTCCAGATAATCTCATCCATGAGCCCCTCTTCCCAGCCCTGCAAAGAGTCTCCTGACTCAATATCTCTTACTTTTCACCCTCATCTCCTTTTTGGCCTTGGAAGAACACGATCCTTTCCTGCCATAGCCCCAATTCTATCACTTATGGCTTCCAGTGTTTCTGTGACCCCAGGAGAGAGCATGGTAATGTCAAGTGCACTTATGTTTGAAGTCAACCTGAGCCAATGCCACGTCACTTGAGTCTCCTCTGCCCTGTTAAAGATCCCCTCCACTACACATCAGTCAACATATTTCCTTTCTTGGGATGTTCATCACAAAACAGCATCCAAAATCCCCATCATTTGACACCCCAAATCCCTTAAGCCTGAGTTTCCAATTGGGATCCCTCTGAAAGCAGAATCCATGCTAGGAATTGCAAACGAAGGGAATTGAATAAAAGGATCTAGAAACACATGTGTTGGAAGGCCAAAGAAGATTAAGGGATTGATGTGGTATCCTGGATAGTAACAACTACAGGAAGGAAACAAAAGGGAACAAAAGAACCTAGGGTCTCAAAGGAGGGCTTTTACGGGACTTATCTCCAGATACGAGTCGGGGGTGACGGGTTCTCTGCCTAACTGATGCTCAGACCTGAGGAAGGGGTCTAGGTTAAATGCCTAGAGTTTAAAATTCCTAGACAAAGAACCAAATGACAGAGAACCCTTAGCCTTCTTTGCCCCAAATCACACAAAGTGCAAAATCTATGGGAAAAAAAAAAAAAAAGATGATAAATTGAATGTCACCCAAATTTTAGAAATTTGGACAAAACACATGATGAAATGAACTGTAAAAGACAGACTACCCAAGATAAGATATCTGCAACACATCTAACAAATAATTAATATTCATAGTTTGTAAATAATTCTTACTAAGCAGCAGGAAAAGTGCAAATAATTTCATAGGAAAATGAGCAATTGACGTAAAAAGTATTTCACTGAGTAGAAAATATAAATGTCCAATAAATATAAGTAATTACAGTAAACCACACTGGTAATTAGCAAGATGCAAATCAAAGTAATACTGAGATTCAGTTTCCACCCATCAGGAAGGCACAAATTAAAAAGATGGCAAGCCATAGTGTGAGAAAATAGATTCATTCACCACATGAATGTCCGTGTGAATCATTGCAGACTTTTTGGAAAGCAATTTTGTAGGGGTTATTAAAAATGTTAATGTGTTTAACCTTGACCTCATATGTATACTTATAAGAGTCTATCAATTTAAGTTATTTTCAGCTTCAAAACTTGAAAAATCCTATTCAAAGTGGCTAAAACAACAAAAATATTTACTAGGTTACATAATTGGAAGTCCAGAATTATTAATTATCAGAGTTGCTGACCTGATAATTCTATGAGGTGAGCAAGGACAAGCATTTTTAAAAATTCTGTCTGGCGTTAAGTTTAATTCATAACTTAAGGCCAGGTTTCTCCAAGGTCATAAGAGGGCTGCCCGTGTCAGTCAGAACTGTGTGCTCAGTCATTCACATCTTGTAGAAAAAAGGAATGGCTCCCCGACATCTATCAAAGTCTTTCTAGTCTGTTTGGACCAACTTGGGAGCCGTGCTGTGTCATTTGGGGTCCTAACAAAAAACAGATGACACGTTCAAATGTGGCAATTGGAGGTAAATGTAATGAAGGAGTTATTTATAAAGATATGGGTAGAGTACAGGGAAATTTCAAGGCATAGTACATAACCTAAAAGTGGGGTTACTAAAAGTGGGGTATACCTCTCGCCATCCCTAGGCCTGAAAGGACAAGAGGAGGTTATTAGAACCCAGAGAGAGAGAGAACTTTGTGAACAAGGCTACCTAATAGGAGCTGTGACCTTCTCAAGAAAAATAGCCTGCAGTGACCCCATAGGAAAGGAACCAGGGAATACAGTCATGCATGGCTTAATGACGTTTCATAGTGCAAACATCATAGAGTGAATTTACGCAAATCTAGGTGGCACAGCCTACTACACACCTAGGCTATATTGTACAGTCTATTGCTCCTGTATAAACCTGTGCAGCATGATACTATACTGAATACTTCAGGCAAATGTAACAGAATAGTAATGATTTGTGTATTTAAACATATCTAAACATAGAAAGAATATAGTAAAAATATGGCGTTACAATCTTATGGAGCCACCATCACCTGTGCAGACTGAAATGTCATGACGTAGCACCTAACTGTAAATACCCTGACCTCATTTTCTTCCTAATATATAAATAATGTATAAGTTTTGTGATCCTAGATGTTTTAAAATGGAGTCACCTGTGACAAGTGACTCAGCCTGCAGTGAAATTGCTGACCCCTCAAAGTGATAAACATATGCATCTGAGGGGATAATGTTATATATACCTGCTTTGGTCAGGCACTCCCAAGACTGGACAAGAAAGCAAAGCCAAAAGCTGCTGAGATCATGACTACAGACACTCCTGCACAGGGCCATAAAAACCACCAAGAAACTGGCATGGCGAGATGCCTGTAGAAGCTCTGCTCATGAGAATTCAGTCCTCTTTTCTATCTGGCATCGCCACCAGGAGCCCTACCGGGAAAAGAGCAACGACAACCACCTCTCTCTAACACCCTGCAAAATATATTTGCATGATTGCTAGTGTATGAAAGCCTTGCAATAAGCCATGAATTTGTAAGCATCTAATTGGCCACTGAGTCACTGTGAAACCTCTTTCCTTCACCCCTACTCCCATTCAAGTTAGCACAAGTACGCCGATTTGAACCTGACATGACACTTCCCATTCTCCAAGTTCCTTTCACTACTGCCCCTTGGCCAAACTCAGAAGCCAAGGGCAACCAGAAGCCAGAAGGCAAGGAAGCCCACAGATGCAGGTCAGCTTCCTGGGCAGACAGCCAGGAGAGAAGCATGGAGAGTGGATTTGGAAGGGTAACTGGAGATTATCCAGCATAGTCCATGCCTCTTGCCCCTCAGGTCCATATTCTTTCTGGGGTAAGACATTTGTGTTCCCTCTCACAAGTGAAATTCTGAATCATCACATTAGGTCAATGTAATCATACTCCTATCTGAAACTTTTAAAAGCCACTCCCAGTGTTACTCATGTAAGGTGGTTAGAGAAAAAGGCAGGGATAGGGAGGAAACAGTTAAATAGAACATTGAGACTCCTTGATGCTATAGTTACTCACCAAAGCCAAGTTTGGTAATCACAGCTGCCTTGTTCTACCACCCATCCCATGTTCCCCTCACCCTCTGCCAGCACCTCTGCTGGATGCTGTTCTTCACTTTACAGTTGAGTCAAGCCTCCATTTCTGCGCAATCCAGGTCCTCAGTGCTCTTCTTTATTGGGTGCTTCAATTTTCCATTGACTGAAACTACCAGACATAAAAGAAGCAAGAGATTCCCTGGAATAATAAGACATGCTCCTGGGGAACTCCTGGGCTCCAGACATTGTTCTATTTACTTCTACTGAGTAGCAGCGATCCAGTTTTCCCCTGAGCAATTAGGATCAATCAGCCCAGCCAGTAAGGTGATCCCTTTCTGCCCTTCTATATAAAATTAAACACTGCATGCTCTCATTTATAAATGGGAGCTAAACAATGGGTACATTATGGGCATAAAGATGAAAATAACAGACACTGACAATTCCACAGTGGAGTGGGGTGGGAGAAGGGCAAAAGCTGAAAAATCACCGACTGGGTACGATGTTCACTGTGTGGGTAATGGATACACCAGAAGCCATGCCTCACCATTCTGCAATATGCCCAGGTAACAAACCTGCACGTGTGCTCCTTGAATCTAAAATAAAATAAAATAACCAAAAAAAAAAAAGAAAAAAATCATAATGATTTACTGGCATTCTCCACAACCTATGTAGTATCTGTACCAGCAAAAAGGCAAATTAAGTGGAGATATGAAATTAATACCCTAATATCTTTCAGGTCTGTGATGGTGACACTAACTCTAGTCACTCCCCCAGGGATGGAGTTTTACTTTGGGTTTCTGGTTTATCATCTTGGCAGAGGGTCAGGAGAAACTCTACGGGCTTCCCCTTGA